TGAAGCTAGTCACCCTAACATTGAGCTTTTAACATTTCAGAAGTCTTCTCACACATTTCTGCATACACCTCAGTGAAACATAGTGAGCAGGAGAGAAAAAAAAATATCCCTAGTTTCTCCATGGTAGGAAGTAATGCATACTGGCAAGAGAGGCACACATCTTGGAACATTACAAAAATAGTGGCTCTTTTTTTGAGTTCTGTGCTATTGCCTTCTCTATGGAACATCAGCCTATCCAGCTCAGAGGCTATAGCTGAGTTGACAGTTGCTGTTCTGACCATTTCAGCCCCAAGCTCCCATGTGTCTGTCTCTGTCCCCTCTGTGGCCTCCGTTATGCTCATATTGAGCAAACTGATGTCAAAGCTCTATCAGGAGGGCAGCCAATGCTCAGCTCTACCAGTAACTGTCCCAGATAGCCAACCACAGATCGTTCACCAGACTGGGTCTTGGTCTTGAACCAGGCCAGAACCTCCAGACCTGGGGAAGTATTTCCTGAAAATAATCATTTGCTCCCTTCCCTGCCCTTTGGACCAAGACAAACAGGCTGGACACTTTCCAAGTTTGTTATATACCAGTTCCCCTCCAATGGTTCAAGAGTACCGTCTTGTGCAGCAATATTACCAGTGGACATAAACTTCTCCATAGCCCACACTCCAGGGAGAGAGAGGAATGATCTCCTCACCCTGAGATCCTGTCTCTCCTGGCCGCTGCCAGCTTTCCCATATATAATCACAGATCCTTTCTGATGGTCCCTCACTTATGCTCTTCCTCTATTCCAGTGGAGGGATCTCCGTCACAACACTTCTCTCCTAGTTGAAGATCATGCCCTAACATGGAAGAAGCTGATTCAAGGAGGGAGATGATAGTGCTACTCCCTGAGTCAGCTTCAGGAGCATCTTTTCTCCTTTCCCTGCCTTTGGGGGCAGAGTTAAGGTTTACTGAGATGCTAGGTTGTAAGAATTCCCTTGGCTGTGCAGATCCTGATTTTCTCAAACTTTAATAAGTTTATTGTGATGTTCTCTTAGAGATACATGGAAGGATCTTATCTGAGCACATCCTAGTTTTTCAGTTCAGGATTTGGCAGGCTCTGAAATGGGGTAGGTTTAGAAGATAAAATAAAACAAGAACAAGTTAAAATTACTTAAAGTTAGATGTCTTCAAGTTACCAGGGCCTGATGAAATGCATACTAGAATACTCAAGGAGCTGATAGCTAGAGGCTCAGATACCTCCTATACTCCTATATCATCTTTGAAAAGTCATGGAAGTTGGGAGAGATCCTAGAAGACTAGAAAAGGGCAAATATAGTGCCCATCTATAAAAAGGGAAATAAGAACAACCCAGGAAACTACAGACCAGTCAGCTTAACTTCTGTGCCAGGGAAGATAATGGAGCAAATAATTAAGGACCTCATCTGCAAATATTTGGAAGATAATAAAGTGATAGGTAACAGCCAGCATGGATTTGTAAAGAACAAATCATACCAAATCAATCTGATAGCTTTCTTTGATAGAATAACACGTAGATAAGGGAGAAACGGTGGATGTGGTATACCTAAACTTTAGTAAAGCATTTGATACAGTCTCACATGACCTTTGCACCAATAAACTAGGAAAATACAATATAGATGGGACTACTGTAAACTGGTGCATAACTAGCTGGCTGGATAACCATTCTCAGAGAGTAGTTATTAATGGTTCTCAGTCATGCTGGAAGGACATAACAAGTAGGACTGGTTCTATTCAATATCTTTATCAACAATTTAGATATTGGCATAGAGAGTAAGCTTATTAAGTCTGATACCAAGCTGGGAGGGGTTTCAAGTGCTTTGGAGGATAGGGTCATAATTCAAAATGATCTGGACAAACTGGACAAATGGTCTAAGGTAAATAGGATGAAGTTCAATGAGCACAAATGCAAAGTACCCCACGTAGGGAAAAACCGTTTTATACATACAGAATGAGAAATGACTGTCTAGGAAAGGGAAAGGGACCTAGGGGTTACAGAGGACCACAGTCTAAACATGAGTCAACAGTGTGATACTATTGCAAAAAAAGCAAACATGATTCTGGAATGCATTAACAGAAGTGTTGTGAGCAACACACCAGAAGTCATTCTTCCATTCTACTCTGTACTGATTAGGCCTCAGCTGGAATATTGTGTCCAGTTCTGGGTCCCACATTTCAAGAAAGATATGGAGAAACTGGAGAAGTTCCACAGAAGAGCAACAAAAATGATTAAAGGTCTAGAAAACATCTCCAATGAGAGAAGACTGAAAGAATTGGGCTTGTGTAATTTAGAAAAGAGAAGACTGAGAGGGAACATGATAGCAGTTTTGAAGTATCTAAAAGGGTGTTACAAGGAGGAGGGAGAAAAATAATTGATCTCCTTGGCCTCTAATGATAGAAGGAGAAGCAATGGGCATAAATTGCAACGAGGGAGGTTTAGGTTGGACATTAAGGGTGTGTCTTGACTACATGCCTCCGTCGACGGAGGCATGTAGATTAGACAGATCGGCAGAGGGAAATGAAGCCGCGATTAAAATAATTGCGGCTTCATTTAAATTTAAATGGCTGCCCCGCTCTGCCGATCAGCTGTTTGTCGGCAGATTGGGGCAGTCTGGACGCGCCGCGTCGACAAAGAAGCCTTTCTTGATCGGCACAGGTATGCCTCGTGAAACCAGGTCGACGGAGGCATGTAGTTTAGACGTACCCTAAGAAACTTCCTAATTGTCAGGTTGGTTAAACACTGGAATATATTGCCTAGGGAGGTTGTGGAATCTCTATCACTGGAGTTATTTAAGAGCAGGTTGGATAGACATCTATCAAGGATGATCTAGATCATGCTTGGTCTTGCTGTGAGGGCAGGGGACTGGACTTGATGACCTCTTGAGGTTCCTTCCAGTTGTAGAGTTCTATGATTCTATGCTGGAAGAACATGCAGCGCACAAGGCACTATGGCGTGGCAGCAATCTTAACTCCTCTTGAAGCTTGTGTTCTGATCTACCAACTGAGAAAGGGAAAATAATGCTCCAAAGACTGTCCCAGTTCCTCTTCTCGGGGAGTTTCTTTATGCAGTTAGAAGCAAAAATGCAAAACCTGGCAACCAAACAAACTTGGTGCCCCTTAAGTTCTTGTCCTAGTCCCTTTCCCCAGACCCGGAGTGAAAGTAACTTAAATTTCTTACAAGTACTGTCCTATCACAACCTGCCCCGCTTGGGGGGTGCCTCAGGTTTGGGAGGGTGTTACAATACCTGTAAGAAATTTCAGCATGAGGTAGTGTGTGGGACTTAGGGCAGAGGGTTCAGGTGTGCGGAGGTGCAGGAGTCAGGGCAGGGGGCTGGAGATGTGAGGGTTCAGGTGTCAGGCTAAGGGACTAGGGACATGGGGGGATGCCAGAGTCAAGGTTGGGGTGTATGAATGGCTCATGGCAAGGGGCTGGTGTGTGCAGAGGGTGCAGGAGGCTGAGAGTGGGGGTTGGGGAGCATATGGGAGGGGGTCCTGGGGATGGGTTAATTTACCAGGCCAGGACTGGGATGCTACAGTCAAGCAGCCACAGATGGACAGGGGCCAAGCCAGGATCACCGCAGCCAATTTCACCTCCCCTTCTACCTCCACCATAGCAGGAGCAGCCACTGAAGCCAGATGGGGGCTACCACCAGCCCCTCTTGAAGCCAGATGAGGGCTAGACTGCGGGGCTCCTTCCTTCCCTCATCCCTGCCCTGCCCAGCTTTTAAAGAGCCCACCCCAGGCTGGCTCTTTAAATAGTGCATCCCGGCCTACTCTTGCCAGAGTGCAGCCAGCTCTTGCTGGAGTGATGTACCAGGATGCGCCTCCTTACTTTCACCTCTGCTCCAGACACTCATCATCATTACAGTCCTATTACTTCCTACAGGTGTGCGCTGGCCAAGTCTTCCACCTGACATGTGCAGGGCCTCTCCCATATCCTCCTTTGCACCAGTGTCTCTCCAGCCTGCTCCTTTGCCTGGCAGCAGTATATGGAATTTTCAGTTGGGCACGTGGATTACAAACTACGGTTTCCGGTTTTAACAGGTCCATAAGCCAGAGCAGCTGCATGTATGCACCCTGAGGCTCAGTGTGTTGTTACAGCTACATTCACCAAGTATGTTGTAACTCAATTATTTATTATTACTATTTAAACAGTTTGGAGTAGCATGTCATTCTCAGGCTGGAGCTCAGATAGCAAGTTATTCCACTGTTCAGGAAGTTTGCCAGTTGAGTTTTCCACCCGTTAAAGCTAAACAGAGCGTACTACAATGTTCCAGCACAGACATAATGAATCTGCAGAAATTATTCCTACCAGTAAGGTATGTGGGTGTCCTGTCTAAAGGGCTGCTTGCAAATGGTATTTGGGTGCATAGTAATACCACTTTTGCAGGCTATATGCTCCAGTTTGATGGGAATTTATCCAGTGAGTTTTTTATTTTTTCTAAAACTTATGTCAAACGTTACTATAACATTAGATTTAAAAATCATGGCAGGTACAGAACATGCCTGAGAGTCAGTGTGCAGGGGCCAGGATGAGAGGGAAGGAATTTATGTTAGACAATGGTGTGACTTTCTTTCTTATGTACATTTTGACATCTCCATTTTCACAGCCTATGATGGAGTGCCTTTGCTTTGTGTCTAATCTAGCAGCTTTAGCTGACAAAAACAAGCTGCATTAATTCTAGGAAAAGCAAACAGAATATGAGCAAATAAAACGATATAGTAAAAATAAAGAAAGGGAAATAAAAGTATTCCTCGAGAGAGTGAGTTTGAAATTTTAGGGAGCTATGAAACTGCATAGTTACATTCTAGATACTGATAATGCAGCATGCTGAATTCTTGAGTGCATCTCTCATGGGGGGAGTTCAAGCAATGTATAGACCACTCTTATTCTGTCCAAGTAGGATAGTTTTGTTCTCATGCAATGGGAGCAGGTGGTAGAAGGTTGTTTTGATGAGGTTAAAAAGCTCCTCCCCTCTTTCCCCAAGCAGCAGCCTAATCGGCGTCAGCAGTAATTGTGTGCCTTGCACTGCTTTACAGTGAGGGTGAGCTGAAAAGATATATCAATATGAGATATCAAATTGAGACCTAGATGTTCCATTTTAAGTGGCTGCTCATTTCCTTGAGCCATAATATGGGCTAAAGGTTAACTTACACATTCTCTGTGGGAGAACAGCCTTTTGCTTTCTTTTTCTTTTAAGGTGTGTATATTTCATATTCTTTTCTACCTACAGAGGCAAACTATGATGTACAGTGTTCTTAATACAGATTTTTTTCCACTAGATTATTTGCTAATCAGACTACAGTACAGTGGAGATAATAGAGAGAATCTGTTGCCTAGATAGTTGGCTTTAATGAGCAACTAAACCCCTGGGAGCTGAAATCAGAAATAGAATGATGCTGTTTCCCCGTCTCTTGTCTTTTCTTCACTTGCTTCTTCTCATCCCTGTTCCAATGGGCCTAGTGAGCGGGAACTATCCAAGGTCCTAGAATGCTGGCTGCTTGGCTGCTGAATACAGACAGATTGCGGAAAGAGAGGAGCACCCGATTACTGCTTGTATCAGAAGGTAGGCATGCTCTTTGTTTGAGAATCCCTGATTAATCAACAGCAGCATCAACAGACTAAGGCAGCTGGAGAGAGCAAGCCTGCCTGTAGTCACGGGGGAGAGAGTCGATGCCACAAGCTAGGCTGCCTCAAACCTTCTGTATCTAAGTGGCAATGAGAGAGAGAGCATCTTTTCTGCGGCAAGAAGCCATTTGGATAGGATGTTTTCTATTCCTTGTTTTCATTTGTTTTTGTCTCCACAGAATTCATTCAAATGAGGCACCTTAGCAATCTCTGTGTTATTGCATATGATGGTGGTGTAATCTTCTGCGTTGTAAAGTGGGTAAACATCATCCAGTTTCTTCTCAGCTGGACCTCAAAGCAGGGTGCTGTTTGTACCCTCCCATTATCTATGTCCTCTGTTCTCTGAATGTGGATTTAAAGAAGCCAGCACCTGTCTTTTGCCACTGCATTTTTAAAAGCCAAACTTGAAAGGCCATTTTAATGCTACATTAAGAAGATCTCTGACATAACCCACTGACTTCTAGTGATGCAGAATTCTACAATCTGGGCTTCTTTGCCAACAAGATTGAATGCACTTTAACTGAAGAAAAACTGAGCCTAATTGCAAATCTGTTTCTTATGGTGCTGAAATATTCCTTCAGACTGCACTGAGATAACCACAGGAAAGGGCTTTTACAGACAAAAGTCACCTTTGATTATTGCACTTAGCAGTCCCCGTGGACTTAAATTTTGGTATGTACATGTTTTCTAAAAATTATCTGAGCATGTTAATAGAATACAATGCTAATTAGAGAAGGTTAAGACAAAGCATACTTACAAAACTGTAATAATTTGTAATCAGGGATATCTAATGCAAAAGTTTGCTTTTCTGTTTTGGGCACCTTAATTAAGCCCTTGCTTAACTAAACAGTGCTGTAAATGTGTATCAGACTATTTTATGTACCTACACACATTAGCTGCATTTATAATAGGATAATTTTAAGCAGGATTTTTCATTTGTAAAAAGCAGTGCTAAATTATTAAAACATTTTTGCTATATTCTGATGTATTAATTGACATTATTCATATCCGTGTTAGTTACTTATCAGACATGCCACAATATTAATATTTTACATTACTCTTAGCAACGAAATCTCCATTTCATTTTCTTAAGGGAGGAAAGAAATGCACATACACAAGAAGCTGGTTCTTTCTTCTGAGTTCAAATACACATCTCTGTTTGCCTGTAATGTTTTTCTAATTCTCTCCAGTAGTGTCTGGATAAACTAAATCTCAGAATTACACTAAGTGCTTGCTGTTAAGAAGCACTGAATTTTGTTTCATTTTAAGAAATCATGTATTTGGGATGAAGCATATTTCTTTCTTTTGGAAAGGGCACCTTGATCAAACTGTCTTATTGCAAAGTAAAAAACCACAGCTCTCTAAATTCTAAAGACAGAGAGGAGACATTGTAGGCAATGATCTTTCTGCTGCCCAAAATGCATCATGAAGTGACCCAAATTCCAAGATTTGGATGGTATTTTTAGTTCTTTAAACTATTGATAGAATGACCGGCACACTTGAAAGGAGTAATTTTACAGACACAGGTTATTTTCTTAAATATACATAAAAGGTTTTTTTCTTCCTAAGAAGCCACTTTTAACCTCTTTAAGTGAATGTTTTAGCAGCACTTACCTTCTGTGGCTTTCATTCAGATACTGGTGCTCGTTGTGTAATGTAATAAGTGCAAGATGGGCAGTATGTAATCTTAGCAAAAATAACTTGTAAAAATGATTTGATGTTAAGACTCAATTAGCCTCTATTTAATTTTTAAAAATGACCAAACTACATTGTACAACTTAGGAAAGCCCGAGTGCCTAATTCATAGAAACTTTGCTCTCTATTTGACATTAGAATTTCTGTAGTACTACTTAGGCAAACAACATGCCTGCTCGCTGTTTGCTTTTTATTGATGCACTCCTTGTTCATGCTTCTCCTTTTAACGATTAATCAGATCAAATATTGAACATACGGAAGCTCACCTGGCATAGGGGTAGAAATATTGAGACAGGTGTAGAAATGATTTCATGGAAGACAGCATCTCTTTCCATTTGCTGATGTATTTGCAGTCACTTATTTTGAAGAGGGATATGTGTACTTCCTCCCTACACATAAACACACACATACACTACCATGAGACAGACACACACGCACACACAACCACGAGGCCTTTATTAGTGGGGTTGTAGTCGTCAGTTTGTGAAAATCAGATGTGGTCGGTCTACTTTGCACTTACTACCTTGAAAGCAACCAGAACACTGCAGCACAAACTCAAAGGGCATGGTGGCCATTTAGCATTCTTGATCTGTGCAAAAATGCTTTTTGAAATGTTGCAGTTTGCTGATCGAGCTGACAAGGCTAGAGTGAATGAGGCGTAAAAGAAAGCAGTGGAACTGGAAGTGGAATACAATTCCCCCACCCCCAACCAGGAATCCAGGGTTGGATTCAGGACATGTACTATGAGTTGTGTCTGCATCAGTCCTCCTATGTTTAAAAAATAAAATGCCTCCCATTGATTTGAGAAGAAAGCAGTCAGAGCCTTTGTTGCTATTTGAACAAGCTCCTTCAGTTTAATGTCAACATTGCCTATTTTCAGTGAAACACAGCTGCATTTTGAGGTGATCAAGCAAGGTGAAAAGCCAATGTGAAGATTCTTGGGATGGCCTAAGCATGAATAAAGATGGAGCTACTTCTTTGAATGTTACAATATAGCAATACAGTATAGCATGAGACTACACACAATCACTGCATTTAGTAGTCTGACTCTAGCATTCCCTGCACATGGATTGTGGATTTGCTGGATGAATGTTTGTTTTTAATGCAAGGATTTTTTACATTATGTATCAGATGACATAGATAAATTATATTTTAAATGTATAAAAATGTCACAGATTTGTGATACACCATGCATTATTTCCCCACATTTTCAAAAATGACATCTGAATTAGTAGAATTCCCTTACAGTCTGCCAAGGCAAGAGGCAAAAATCAGTCAGAAAACTGCTTGCCCTGGCCAGTAAACTGTATGAATTTGTAGAAGAGTTAGAAGAAAAAATCTCTAGTTTAATATCTTTCATGCTGATAGTTGATTGCATATACGCTGCTCCATGTTGCTTTGGCAATCGCCTTTCAACTTTGCCTCAGAGGTGAGGAGAAGGTGAGGAGACTTTCAGATCTTGATGTTTTTTTGAAAAAGGGATTGTCCTGCCTGAAATGCAAAAAACTCTCCTACAGCGATTAACTTCCAGGGCTTTCCCCAAAATACTTACTGATATTTTGGAACATCAATATATAACATTTTTGTATTCCATTATTATTATTATATTGTGTACTCTAATAAATATCATAGCATTCACAAAGCATAGCATATTTATGCATTTGGATAAATACAGGACCAGTCTTTATAGAGCTATCAAGTCATCCAGAATATACAGCTACACTTGAGAAAATGTCCACATTTACTGCAGTCATAAAAGCATCCATACAGTAGTTGAGAAAATGAAGACAAACATATGGACTGAGGTAGTTTATAAAAACACCTAAACCTATGGTGAACAGAGAACAATAAGAGCTATAGCTTTGCTTAAGATGAGATTTCTCATGCAATTGACACATGCGTCTTTCATGTAATTGATATGAAATAAAGTGTAATCCTTGGACACCTTTTTAGCTAAATCCTCATTGTAGAATAGACTGTCAAAAGTGCTCAGTGAAATCAGAGACATTGACTTATAAATAGCTTTCTATACTATTGACTATACCAGGAACAGAATTCATCTGACACTAGATGTTTTGAAACAGACCTCTCCTATGTATAGATGTCTATGCAGAGAGGTGTGCAAAGTAGTACAAGAGAATTTTCCAAATTAAACAATCCCCATGTAACAATTAGCCTGTATTCTCCAGTTTCAAAAATCAAATCCACTGAAAACAGACTGATTATGCAAGTGTCCTTCATCACCAGCTAATTAAAATTCCATGAGCAGTGTATTCACAATCCGGGTGCCAAAATGTGTATTAACAAAATCAGTCTGTCATACTACACAGGATATGTTAATAAAGTAAAAATGTTTACAGTAATAAGTACTTTAAGCATTTACTATTTCCAGTTGTTGGAAATGTACGCCTATGTAAGCATGGCAGGCACAACTTTCTAATACTGGCAAATGCCATGAGATTGCAAAATTCAGAATTATGCAAGATTCTTAGGGTCAGACCCAGCAAACAATTAATTGCTACTGATCTTTCTACTTGTTTCAATATGTAGTGCTGCTGATGTCAATACAACACACTGAAAGGTATGAGACTAGCCAAGGCACACTGTGCTACACTTGCTATAAAGTGATTCCAGAAGTTAGCCAATGAGACAATGATAGTAGTTAGAACTGTAATCAGTAGAGTTTGCAGAACTGCCTCCTTAAATTGTAAGCTATTTGTGCCAGGGAATGTGTCTTACTCTGTTTCTAAAACACCAAAGAACAAGGTGTTATTTACATGATTAATAATAAACAGTAACTAATACAACAACACAATATAATAAAATATTGGGCCATTGCATGCAACAAAACAGAGACTCATCTCTATTGAGCATATGTGTGTCAATATTGAGCCTTCTCCATATTGCTTCAGCCTAGGGAATAATGTACTCAAATAAAAAATATAATGATTTGTAACATCAGCCTTAGCTAAGCACCTCTTTCATATTCTTAAATTCCTGCATCTTTTATACCTCAGAAAAAAAGAAAATGCAATACAATGCAATAACTTATCATGTAGAGGTCATATAATAAACAAACTTGTGTGTGCCTCAGTGAAAAAAGATCTAATTCTCCATTTAATAATTGTTTAGGGCCTGATCCAAAATCCACCAAAGTCATTGGGACCAATGAACTTTAGCTCAGGTTCTGAAGACTCATTAGAATACAATAAATGTATACATCAAGGGTGAAATTCTATACCCTAATGAAATGGCAAAAACTTCCTTTAACTTAAAGGAGACAAGATTTTATGGTTGGATTAACCTTACCTTAAAGGGATTCTGTCACAACCACATGTGTTATTGTTTTATTGTACACTGAAAGGGTGTGTCCATGCAGCATTTTGGACCAAGTGGGAGCAAGCCTTCCAGCTCAGGTGAACAGACTTGTGCTAGCACTCTAAAAAAGGCTGTATAAACAGCACTTGGAAGGTACAGCTTCGGCTCTGAAGTCTATTCCCCTTCCTAGGCTTCATAACTTGAACTGCAGCTGCAAAGCTCTGTCTTTACAGCTATGGGTTGAACCCTGGCACAAGCCCTGCTGGCCCAAGTCTATTGCCCCAGGCTGGGAGGCTTGCTCTCAAATGTTCCAAATTGCTGTGTAGATGTACTAAAGTGTTTAAGCCTAAATGTAAATGGCCTTAAAATAATAGAAGGGACGAGATCCCAAATATCTAGTTAAAAGAAAACAAGCTCCCTTCAAGAGATCTGTAGGCCTTAGAGACAGAATGATTCTGAGTCAAGTTCTGTGCTCCATAATCAGGCAGAATTTAAAAGTAAGACAAAAGGAACTTTGTCTCAGTAAGGGCTGCAGCATCAGGCCTTGTGGTTTCATACCTGAAAATATTATAGCGGTAGCCAGTTTAATCCAAATTCACCCCTATTGAAATGCCATTGACATAACAAGAAGAACAAGGCTGCCAGTTCGACTCTACTGTTGGGGCCTACAAACAGGTGCTGATCCCACACATTGTTCTATGCAGACTTCTGTGCCCATATAGAGCCCCAATGGATGTAAAAGTGAGAGTGGGGAGAGACTTCTGCATGTGTGCAGAGAGCATGCCTGCAGGGTACCGGTTTCACAATTGAGACTTCAGTAATTTTTGACTTCTAATATTTCATCTTTCCAACTTTAACATTGCTCTAGAGTCATTTTTATATGTATATTATTTGTTTTATATAAAAAAGAAAGTAAAGGCACTGAAATGATCTATATTTAATGGGACACCAAAAATATTTCTGTCTAATACCAGACTTGCTTTTGCTACCAGTACCAAGAAAATTATGAAACAGAAAAGATTTCTCTGTCTTTCCCAGTTTTGTTTACTTTGTGAATTTAAAAGCATTATGGCTTCATGCTATAGGCTGTGCCCAGAGGTTCATAGTGATTATTGGACTCTATCAGAGATTTTCATTATATGTTTAAAATTAATAATTGTCCACATCAGAATTTTAGCTATAAAGCAGCATGAAACAATGCTGAAATAGGCCAGGAAACGTAACATTAGCAAATAGAGGAAATATTTTGATGCTAGTTAAAAGTCGCTCCTACATTACAGTCCTCGTGCAGACAGAACTCCCATAGCCTGATTAGTGAGATCAATTAAGGTATTCTCACTGTCCTGCCATTGTTCTTATGTTGCATTATGGTTACATAGACTTGGTACTTGTATGAAAAATGTTAGTATCCTTCTTCCTTGTACTACCCAGACCCTGCAGGGCCTGGAACAAGTTGCTTTAGTCTGTGTCTAAATTTTTCCTCTGTGAAATGGGGATAATAGTACTTTTCTCATAGAGGAGTTGTGAAGATAACTTCATTAAAAGTCTATGGTTATGTCTACATTATGGGACAAGGTCAAATTCAGTTACATTAATTGCTTAGCTGAAGCTGAAGTAGCTTAACTCAACTTTTGGTGCTCACCACATGGCAGGAAGTTGAAGGGAGAACACTCTCCCTTCAACTTCCCTTACTCCTCGTGGAAGCAGGACTACCAGCATCAACCAGAGTGCCTCTCTCAGTTCGAATTAGCTATCTTAACTAGACCTGCTAATTCGAACCCTGGAAGATCAACAGTGGATATGTCTAAATAGCGGCGCTATTTCGGGATACATCTGGTATCCTGAAATAGTGTTTTCCATGTCTTACAACAAGCCCATTATTCGAAATATATTTAAAATAACAGACTTGCTAATCTGACATCCCAATAAACCTTGTTCCACAAGAATTAAGGGACTTGTCAAAATAGCAATCTATTTTTAAATTTGGTGCTGTGTAGACGGCGCCAAATTTTGAAATAGACTATCTCGAAATCAGCTATGTGTAGCTTGCATAGCTTATTTTGAGCTATATGGCACTGTATAGATGTACCCAGTGGCAGGTTCGATCATTCTCTGTAGTGTAGACACACCCTAAGAGGGGATGCGTATCAGAGGGCTAGTCCTGTTAGTCTGTATTGGCAAAAATAATGAGGATTCCTGCGGCACCTTAAAGACTAACAGATTTATCTGGGCATACGCTTTTGTGGGCAAAAGCCCACATCATCAGATGCACCTGATGAAGTGGATTTTTGACCCTGAAGGCTTATGTCCAAATAAATATGTTAGTCTTTAAGGTGTCACTGAGCTCCTTGTTTTTATGAGGTGATGGAGACCATTTAGAACCTTTATATGAGATTCTATTTCTAAAAGATTGACAAATGGGTAATATATATGAATAAATAATCAATTGTTATTGAGTCCAATACGTTGCTTGAAATTATGGCTTACAGCCAGGTATAACTTTTCTACGGATATGCTTATAACCTTATATTATGCATCCTACTGACAATTAGTATGTCACAATCTTTTATTAACTCTTTATAAATGGCACTTCAAAGTGTGATTAAAAAAATTGTAAATAATATGAACCAAGGACATGAGGTAGGATCATGCCTTTACTGTTCTGAGCATGGTATAAACACAAAGGGATCCAGGGTCCTTGCTTTGAAGGATATATAATCAAATCAAGAATGAGGGACAATTTAGTGAATGTAATAAATAACTGGAAGAAGAGTTAAAGGGGACAGAGAGATAGTATTAAGATCACAGGATAACACAAGCTTATAATGTCCATAATTTGTTAGTTCTGGATAACATAAAAGAAAAAGGGATTTTTTTTTTTACCAGGTTTGCTATCATTTTAGGTGGGAGCCTGGCCTCAAATATATTTCTGGCCAAGCATTGCAAATTGCTACTGACAACGTATTATCTGTAATAAATTGCAAGCTATTTGCTCACTGATTAAGGTATCATGTGTCTTTCAACTTGCAGGAAGTGTTGCTTTCCTTTGTCCATTATCTCCTGCAAGATGATGAGTTCTAATCAGGAGGAGGTCACGTTGGGCACTTTTCTCCAATATATTGAAGATATGGGGATGAAGGCCTATGATGGCTTGGTTATACAGAATGCATCAGACATTGCTCGAGAGAATGATCGCATGAGGAATGAAACAAACCTGGCTTACTTGAAAGAAAAGAATGAAAAACGCCGAAAACAAGAAGAAGCAATAAAACGGTAAATATATCAACAAAAACATTGTTTGCCATGAAGTGGCCACGAGAAAACAATCCCATTGACTATTGACTTTAGTTGTATGACTTGTAAAACGGATTGAAAAGTATAGAGCCAGACCCTCATCTGGTACAAATCAGCATGACTGAAGGGACATCTTTGTAGCAATGCTGATTTACACCAGCCGTAGGTCTGGCCCCATACTAAGCTGTTCATCTCATATGTTTCACAGTATGCATGAGTGGCTCTGTCCTCAGAAATGTGAGATAGTTTTACCTAACAATGTATCTCCAACCAAATGCTGAGTTTATAGCATGAGTGTGAATGGGACCCTCACTAGTGTGATTCATAAATAAAAGAAGAGTGCATGCTGATCCTGCAAACACTTTTAAATGTGTAACTTTTGCATATGGGTAATCCCCAACAATGGAACATCTCTTGTGTAAAGATAAATGCGTGCATAGGTATTTGTAGGATTCGTACATTCCTTGTAGATCAGAATAGATTGTTCTTGATTGGTGCTTTTAGTATAAAAAATGTGTTTAATTATATCAGAGAACTTTCTGAACTTATTTATTTGCTATTTATGAGGTTACATCATCATCCTGCTCTCTCTGAAACCATCAGAAGCTTTTTATCATTCATTGTAATGGAAATGAATTAGACCCCATATGTGCAAAAAAAGGTTTGATTCTGTAAATGTTTTATATACAGATCTCCCATAGATTTCATGAACATCTTATGAACAGAGTGTTTATGGGATTTATCCTCGCATTCCAATGGATGTCAATGAGAACTATGCACTTTCAGGGTCAGGAAAACAGGAAGAGCAAAAGGCATATTTACATATACAAATCTTACAATGCTTTGTGAGAAAGGATAAATTGTGTAATAAAAATTAGGTAACCACCCATCTGAGTAGCCAATTTGCATATGCAAATGAAAGATTTGAACACACACAGAGAAGAGGCACTTTGAATATTTCCCCCAGTGTGACTCTTCAGTTATGTTGCAAAATGTACCATGCACTGTACAGGTGAAAGAGACCTGCTGAGCATTCCAGGGACACCTTAAGAGTCCATTAGTTCTGATAGAATGTTAATAGGGCAATAGAAGTAGATCAAGCACTCTGGGTAGAAACTCAAAAAAAGCTGAAATTGTGACTGCGCTGTTTCCTGTTATCTTTCTTTGATTTCAATTCCTGTTTTCGGGGAAGGGGGGAAAAGGCAATAACTAATCAGATGTAATCATTTTAGGATCTTCTGAGGCTAGGAAACCTGATGGATTTTTGGAGTACAGTGTACACTGTAGAGTATTTCAGAATAAAGTTTTTGTGGTAGTTCAGGTATAATACACATGAAGTTATAAAGATTAAATTAACTGGATATAAGGAGGCAGTTTTCTGTGTTAGTGTATACTGATTGAGCTTTTATTTAATTGTGCTATTTTAGTTTCTTTTCTGTTTTCTCTATGTAAGTATACTAGCTATATTAATGTATATATTTTTCTTTCCCTCCCTCATACAGACACACACACACACACACACACACACACACACACACACACACACACACAGAGTTTACTGACTGTTGGATTTTCACAGGTGAATGCCTGTACAACACATTAATACAGACAGTCCCTGTCCACAGACCTCATACTTAGGAAGGAAGAAAATATACATAAGCAACATCTGCCCTAAAGGAATACTGCCAAAAATGGCCTGTTGCTGCTAATGCTGGCTAATCTGCATATTGAGCACCCTGGAGCTCTAGTGTAAATGAGTTATTAGTTACTAGCACTCCTGTTCACTGTCACCTTCATGCCATGGCAGCAGGCAGCCTGTCTAGAATAAGATGCCTCAGGTGAAGCTAAACTGATTCTAGCAATAGGGGAAACATGTTGAAATCTTCCCTGCTGTGGGCAAGGAAACAAGGGAAACCACAAGAGAAGTGTTAACTTCTCGGCTACATCTACACTGGCATGATTTTCCGGAAATGCTTTTAACTGAAAAGTTTTCAATTAAAAGCATTTTCGGAAAAGCACGTTTAGATTGGCAGGACGCTTTTCTGCATAAGCACTTTTTGCGGAAAAGCGTCCGTGGCCAATCTAGATGCGGTTTTGTGCAAAAAAGCCCCGATTTCCATTTTAGCCATCGGGGCTTTTTTGCGCAAAACAATACTGTGCTGTTTACACTGGCCCTCTTGCACAAATGATTTGTCCAAGAGGGCTTTTGCCTGAACAGGAGCAGCACAGTATTTCTGCAAGAACACTGACGATCTTACATGAGATCATCAGTGTTCTTGCGGAAATTCAAGCAGCCAATGTAGACAGCTGGCAAGTTTTTCCGCAAAATCACATGATTTTGCGGAAAAACTTGCCAGTCTAGACACAGCCCTCTTGTTTTGTTTTTAGCTAGTGGATGGCAAATAGAGTGTTTGGTGAACTTTCAGCTGGGGGGAAAATATATATATATATTTTTAAATGTCAAATTCATTCAAGCCATTTGGACACTTTGTTTCTAAACAATACTGTTTCAATTTTCTGATTCAGTGATTAAAAAAACCCTAAAAATATCACTTGAGTCAAAATAAACCAGTTGTTCGAGGGGAGAGGGGGAAGTAGCTAGAAGGGTTATGTTTCAGTTCAGCTATCACACAATTAAACTGTGACCAGAAAGAGATATGGGTGTGGCACTGAATCCTTCCTGGGCTGAGGAAACGAGCCAGCAGCCCATTGTCAGGCCATGCTTCCCAGATTTGTGTGCTAGGTAGGGGTCAGTGGTACAATAATTTCTCTTATTTCAATCAGAAGTGAGCCAGGAGCATGTTGGGTGGAGGTTGATGTGGGCAGGGCCGACTTTAGGAAGTGCTGGGCACAATTTGAACAGTTTCGACGGGGCCCCGACAGCCAGGATTTTTCATTGAGCGGGGAAGCTGCCGCGCTCCTCCTCCAGGGCCGATGACCTTTCCCGCAGTGCGCCCGGCATGCCAGCACACTTCCGGCTTTAGGGCGCAGGGCCCTCTTCGGTGCGGGGCCCGATCCGGGGGAATCGGCCGAATTGGCCTAAAGCCGGCCCCGGATGTGGGGATGGATTTGCATCATACCACCCACCACCCACCTTTCAGAAAGGACAAGGAAACCTGAGGTGTCACTGCCATTCTGTTGGGTCCTCCTGTGGGTTTTTGCTGGCTACAGAAGCACTCCCGCTGAGGCTCCAGTCCGAGACACAGCCGGGGAGTGGGTATGTCTGAAGAACACCATGTCTGCATGGAGGCACAAAAACTACTTGAGACTGTCGCTGCTCTCTTGCTGAATGTTCCCTAGGGTGGGAAAAACAAGTTGTAAGGATTTCCTCAAAGGAATCCTGATTGAGTTTCCCTTCCCTTCCCTTTAGCTCCCTCCTCAGGTCTACCTGCACATCAGGTCTCCCTGCACATTAGGGGTAGGGAACTTTTTTTGGGTCGGAAGGCAGCAGGCCAAGGATAGGACAGGTGTTGGATTTTCTGGCAGAGTGGGCCACCCCTGATCCCCCGCTGCCCAGTCTGAGAGCAACTGAAACGCCAGTCCCATTTCGAGCAGCAGCTGGTGAGCATCTTGGCGCCCTGCATGTGGGGTGTTGTGTCCTGCATAGCCCCCGGCTGGCTCTGTGCTGCTCCCTGCACAACCCTTGGCCAGCCTGTGCTGTGCCCCACATAGCTCCACAGGTAAAACCTTTTAAGATAGATAAAATAGTTCAGTGAAATACATTAGATGATACCAGTGTTCTGCAAATATAATGTGGAAAATGACCTCCTAAAATTAAAATGCTGTTTTATTATACATTTTCCTTGTCCTTCATAACATCCTCTGGCAAGGAATCCTCTTCCAAGGGTTCACTGTGCATTGTGTGAAAAATACTTCCTTTTGTTTGTTTTACACCTGCTGCCTAATAATTTTATTTGGTGACCCCTAGTTCCTGTGAGAAGTAAATAACACTTCCTGTTGGAACTCAGTAACACTTCCTTTATTACTTTATCTGACATGATTTTTATAGTCCTCTATCATATCCTTCCTCAGTTGTTTCTTTTTCAAGCTGAAAAGTCCCAGTATTATTAATCTCTCCTCATCTTGCAACTATTCCAAACCCCTGATCATTTTGTTTCTCTTTTCTGAACCTTTTCCTATTTCAATATACTGTATATTTGTGAGATGGGGTGGCCACATCTGCATGCCCCAGTTAAGATGTGGGCAGACCATGTACAGACCATGGCCATATTCAGCCTCATTGGGGCTCCACCTGCAGCCCCCCGTCTGCTCCCTTCCCACACACACCTCTTGAGCAGGAGGGCGCTGCAGCCCCGCACTTCCTACTCTGCCCCCCCTTCCCAGCACTTTCAGAGAACCATGTATCCGCTCATTTGCACTCCATCCCCATTCCTCTCCATCCCTCCCAGAGCTGGAACACTGTGAATCAGTTGCTCATGGATGTTCCAGCTCAAGGAAGGCGGGATAGTAGTGGGGGCAGAGCGCAAAACAGGCAATTCATGACACTCTGAAAGTTCTGGGAGGGAGGGGCAGGAGTAGGAAGGGCAGGGCTTCCGTGTCCCAGTGTGCAAGAGGTGTGTGGGGGAGGAGGACAGACAAGGGGCCTGTGGGCCGCAGGTGGAGCCCAGGTAGGCCCACAGTCTATTTAGGGTTGCCAAGTGTCCAGTTTTTGCCTGGACAGTATTTTGTCCAACCAATTTTTCCCTGCCTGTTCAGGATTTTTTGTGACAGTATCTGGCAACTCTACTATTTTTGCTGCCCATCACTGATTTATATTGAATCAGTATAATTTTTTCTGTCTTATTCTCTATTCCTTTTTTCAATGATGCCTAACATTCTTTTTTTTGTTTTTTTGTTTTTGTTTTTTGTTTTTTTACTGCTGCTGCATGTTGAGTGGATGTTTTCAGAGAACTACCCACAATGACTCCAAAATCTCTTTCTTGAGTGCTAAGCTAATTTCCACCCCATCATTTTTTAGG